AGCTATAAATGTCTCTAATTTCTCATTTTTAATGACTAATACTCCATTTTATAAAAAAATTTTTTTCTTTATCCAGTCTCAAGTTGATGGGCATTTGGGCTGTTTCCAAGTTTTAGCTATCACAAACTGTGCTGCACCAAAGTCTTAAAAAATTCCTTAATGTCCAATTGTTACTATCTTGTGTTTATTGTGGTGCCTATTTCACTATTGTTTATAAGGACAATATCTCACTGTAGGGAAATGCAGTGGGAGATATAATGAAGCAGCCCTTTGAAAAATATAGTAGAATAAATGTGATCAAAGAAAATAGAATTGAACAGTCAGTTATAAGTTGTATTGATGCCCTAAATAGGGAGAATGAGAGTCTGAAGTCTGCTAACAAGCAGTTAAATGTAATTGTGAGATCCAGAGAGCCCATGTAGTACCTTATAAAAGAGGAATTTATCTCCTCTAATGGAAGGACAGACATAACTGAGTGGCATATTCATCTACTTTTTAAAGTTATAAAGCTCCAGAGACATTTGAATCATTAGCAAGTCAGTTCTGTTATAAAGTTTTGGACTCTGATGTGGGGAAATTGGAACTGCAAATATGTAAAAGGGGCAACATTAATGGATTTGTCCAAGTATTTTGACTTTGAAAATCTCTATAAACACACTAGATTTGCAGATATAGCTACTATCCCTAGTAAGCACTACCTGGAAGATGTTTCAGAGCTCTTTCCTCCACAAGGCACAACTAGATCAGTGGTGATGAAGCTTTGTGTTATTTTTTTTTAAGACAAAAGACATTAATGTATATGTTGTGTTTTGTAAACTAAAACCTCAGTATTCAGGTTTAATTACAGTGTTGGTACTTTGGAATAAATAAATGGGTTTTGGGTTATAGTTTGGGCAGTTGTCTATAAATGTTCCACCATCATTGCACTAGATGCCTCCCTCAGGACCTGTTCTCAACTCCCTACCTCAATGTTAAGCTGATATGTTAGGGTTAAATCTATATAACCCAGCTGGATACATAAGGAAGGAAATAATCCATACACTGATGTACCAATAACCAGGTAACTTGTGCTGGCCAGGGTCAGAGGCATGTTCGTGGGATAAGGGGTCCAGTATGTAAGCCTGACTGTGATAGAATTTATTGGCTTGAGAGCACTATCTCAAGGTATGGGATTTAATACCCTAGCAAGAACCTCACTCCATTCCTGGTTGGCTGGAAAAAGTGATGTGCCACACTTAGTGATGTAGGAATACCCGTATTTCCTGGAAGATGATAAGTGAATCTAGGCTGAGGAAGGTGGGCACAATGGAATGTATAGATACTGTAAGAGCATAAGACTCATTAAATGATTTGTTCCACATGTGGGTCTATATTCAAGGACATGAGAGTTTTGCCTTGAAGAAGTTCACCAGTGTCACAAAAGTTTGGTGATGCCTCTCATTCACAAAGGATGATTGTGGGAGTGATGTTAATGGAGATAATAGGGCCTAAAATATTAGATGCTAAATGGCTCCACTTAAGAACAGAATCCAGGGGCTACACAAGATTGGCAAGGTCAGAGTGATATCTAGTGTACCTTGAATGCAAGAAGTTGTGGAGATAGTTAATACAGTAATAGTGTCCTTCATCATGACTGCCCCAGAATTGCCTTCAAATACATCTTCTAAAAGTCAGGCCCATCTTTGCCACATTCTAGCTCTTGATAGCTTTTCATAAAAAATGCCTAACATGTATTCTTTTCTGAGTCTTTAAATATTGCCTAGATGATTCCCTTATAAGAGCTTTCATTCTGATTTAAACCCTTCAATTAGACAGTGAGAAATGTCCTTGTGAGAACTCATAGAACCTAGCACTGTACAATAGGAAGACACTTCTGTAGGAGATGCCAGAAAGAGGCATCTCAGAGGGAGATACTTCAGAAATCAAATTGTTTAAAATTCAGGGAACAGTTATCTGGAATAGGATTTTTGTTTTTGCATAAAATCAGGAATAATTTCTTCTGAGATGTAGCCAATCATTTCTGACACAGTGTACAGTATTTATAAGTTTTTGATAGTTACTGATAAGACTGAGCTCCTTGTGAGTAGACAGATACAATTTTTCAGGAGACCATCAGACTTAGGATAAGCAAATAGTTTTAAGATAATTTTCTATATGTAGTCAGACAGTATTATTTTTCTGCTTTTACCCTTTATTAAAAGATACTTATGAGAAAAAAATTGAACTGTCCTTCTTGCAGTACCTTTCTCTTGCCAGAAAATTTGAATAAACTTTTTGACATATGCTCACATTCAATTTATCTGAGACATCATCTTAACAAAAGAGGAACTTCATAAACATCAATCAAATTTCCATTTATTTTGAGAACACTAAAATGAATAAAGATGCAATATTTTCCTAGTCATATCCTTGAAGGCTTGTTTTACTTGTTTGTTCCTCAGAGTGTAAATGAATGGGTTCAGTAAAGGGGCAAGTGAGGTATTGAGCATAGCTACTCCTTTATTGAAGGCAACTCCTTCTTTAGCTGAAGGCTTTATGTACATGAAGATGCAGCTTCCATAAGAGAGGGAGATGACAATCATGTGAGAAGAACATGTGGAAAAAACCTTTTTCCTTTTTTGAGCTGAAGGAATTTTCAGAATGGTTCTAATGATATTTGCATAGGAGAGAATCACCAGCTCTAGGGTGACCACTAAGGTCACAACTGCTAAGATAAAGTCAACCAGTTCCAGTAGACTAGTATCTGAACAAGATATTTCCATTAGGGGTCCATAGTCACAATAATAATGATTTAGTACATTGGAAGCACAGAACTTTAGTTGACTGGTTGGGATGATTGGGAGCAAGATGATTAGGAATCCACATACCCAAGACCAGAGTACCAGCTGTATACAGACCTTGTTGTTCATGATGGTGGTGTAATGCAGGGGTTTGCAGATGGCCACATAACGGTCATAGGACATGGCAGTCAGAAGGTAAAACTCTGTGGCCCCAAAGAAGATGGCAAAGAAATATTGAGTGAAGCATCCAGCAAAGCTGATAGTCTTAGTCCCAGTTAAGATGCTGAACAGCAGCCTAGGAGTAAAAGTGGATGTAAAAGAAATTTCCAGGAAGGAGAAATTTTGAAGGAAAAAATACATAGGAGTCTGGAGATGGGAATCCAGTAGGGTGAGGATAATAATGGTCAGATTACCTAAAATGCTTAACAAGTATGTGAGGAAGAGAAAAACAAAAATGATAATTTGAAGTTCTGGGCTATCTGTTAGTCCCAACAAGATGAATTCAGTTAAAGTTTGGTTTTTCATTGCTAACTTCTGCCTGTGAAACTGAGAAAGAGAAATACATGAGAGTGGCATGCGGGAATATTGAGTAGAAGTTGTAGATTTTCCTTAAAATTTCTTCATGGGAAAATCTTCTGCCCCATCTGACCCAAACAGAATGTCTGTTGGTCTCAATCTGACTCTTCACAAAATATGTTTGTAAATTCCCATCTAGGAAGGAGACTTTGCTTCTGGGGCCTATACTTCTCAGAACAGTATAATGACCACTTGACTCTCCTGAATTTAAATTTTACCACTTTATTCTCTGTTTTCTTTTTTTATCTATGAAACCCTTTTATGAATGTGTTTCCTCACCCTAATGCCTTTGTGATTTGCTTTCTTGTAGCCCTCTTCAACATATTGGGTGTCTCCTCCATCATTTTGCTTTGTCTAATAACAATCTCCAACCTGCCAGTGCAGAAGCAAATCACTGTTTTTATGCATTTTAGATTTTGTGCCTGGAAGCAGAGCTTGAGAAAGGTTCAAAATATTGAGTTCTGTATGGATACATTTCTCCATTTTTCCTGATACTGGACATAGAACTCAGGGTCTCATTTGTGCCAGGCAAGTGCTTTACCAATGAGCTACACCTACAGCTCTTTTTATCTTTTATTTTGAGACAGGATCTAACTAAGTTTCCCAGGGAACTTGGGATCCTCTTGTGTAGCTGAAATTATAGGTATGCGTCACTGTGCTTGGGCCTTTCTGTATTTTTATCTAGTGGTAGCCAATAGCACTATATACTTCTAGCTATATAGATAGCCAATAATTCTAGAAGTTTTTTTTTAGTTGCTTAAAAATATAATGAGATACGTTTATCTGAACTTGGATCCCTTATGCTTTTCCAGGGTGCAGAACAAAGACATGACTGTGTTATATGAAATTAGGGAAGGGTTGGCCTTGCATGCTAACAAGGGTTTCTTATAGAAAAGTACCTGCTAGAATCAAGGATCCTTTTGGGTACTTATCTTGTGTTCTGATCACTAAGAATCCTTGAAACTAACAAGCCTCAAAGTCCCTTTTGAGCTAGGTGCCTACCTAGGTCAACAGAGGTTCACCCATGCCTCTGTACCATCATAATCATGGATTGAAAATCCATGGCCATGCTACCCAGCACCTGGGAGGCTCAAGCTTCTCAATCCCTTCCTGTTCCCTAGCCTTTGTTTTTAGAGAATTTCTCTATTTTATCATTAAAAAATTCACATTAATATTTTACAGAAAACCCAGCACAAGTGTACATGGATAATTATTCAAAGATGTTAATTTCATCATTGCTTGTAAAAATAAAACACTGCAAATAATAAAAAATTCACCAGAATGTAATTGGCTAAATAAATTAATTTCTTTTGTGGAATAAAATTGGAAGTTTAAATGTACTGATTTGGATGTGATTATAATATTTTGCTAGATTTAGACAGGTTGAAGCCCATTACATATAGTATGATTTTACCTATGTGTCTATTCACAAATATCTGGAAGAATATCAAATAGTCAGAGATAGTTATTTCTGGAGTATCACTCTGAAAAGGGTGTAAGATTATCCTTTTTATTTGATGCTTGTTTGGTCACTTAAAAATTTATAAACAAGCTTAAGTGACCTTTTAGTTAACAAAATATTCCATAAAGAATATTATAAATTCACATTCAGATGGATCTAATAATCTATCCTCAATATTGGTGAGCTGTGGATATACTCATATATTTTTTTTTTGGTACTGGGTATCGAACTTGGGACCTTGTGCTTGTGAGGCAGGCGGTGGAACCACTGAGCTAAATTGCTGGCCCAACATACTCATTTTTGATACAGGAAAAGTGATGAGGGATTTTACCTTTGGATGCTATGTGAGGTGAGCCAGAACTGAGAAGTCAGATGTGGATGAAGAGGTATAAAGTATTTTCTTTCCTAATATTAATTTTTGCCATGACTGCTCACAAAGCATACAGGCAGGCTTCTTGGGCACTAGTTTGAAAAGAAGTAGTTTTCTAGCTCTTCTTGCCTTTATCCAATCACTTTCTATAGCTCTTTCTTCACTGATTCAAATTGGAGCTGGACCTATTCCTGAAGATTCTCCCTTTTTAAAGCAAGTCAAAGAGCAGAGAAACATTATACTACTTAAAGTCTCATCTCCTCCATTTTGTCTGAAAGTTGGTCACAGACTTCATTGTAAATTTATATCAATTTCAGTGATACACATTGTATCTAGTTTACTCAGCAGAGAAATTGAGAGATAAATTATTGCCATGGGACCTATGTTCAAAACTGTTAATTGGCTTCTTTTAAAAGAAATACTGGCAATTAGCTTTTAATAGGTGGCTAGGGAAGATGTTCCAAACAGACCCATGAGAAAGCTGCCATAGGATGCCAGTAACAGGATAAAGTCCTTGTGGGAATTGATGCAATAACAATAGTAAAAAAACAAAACAATATCATTTTCTTGAGGAGTTCACCTGAAATGGGCAGAGTGTTTATCAATTTCTGTTCTTTATCATTATACACTTGAGGCAGTTATTGTTAGGCTCTTAGATCACCTGTTTATTAAGTGTGTGATTTGAGCAAATTAGCTGTGCCTCAGATGCCTCATACATAAAAAAGGGGAGTAAGAAGAGTACCTCTGGCATATGTTTTTCATGTGCACTAAGTGTGTTCATATGTGTGGTGTGTTGAGAACAGTGACTGGGAAATATCTAGCTAGTATTTCTGACAAATATTTGGATGACTTTCTTAAAGGCATAATGAGCTTCAGAGCCCATTTGTAAAGCTAAGCATTCTCAGCACTCCTAGGACTGTCAGTATTGTGAAAATGTTACTAATGTTAGACAGATATTCCTTTTTTATGAAGATTAACAATGTTATTGGCTATATTTTTTCTTAGAAAAATTTATTTTTATAATTATAATTATTAACACATATTAATTGTACAAATTCATGAGACTAACAGTGGTATTTCCATACAGGCCTACATTAATCATGTTGCATTGATCTTGTTCATTTATTTTTTTTCTACTCTCACCCCATTCCTCCCTTTTCCCCTAGCACCCTTCCTGGTCCCTGGTAATCTTACTTCTGATTTTTTAGCTCATCTTTTTGTTGTCGTTGTTTCCACATATGAGAGATAAAGTGTGATATGTGTGTCTTTCTATGTCTGCCTTACTGGCTTAACATAGTGTCCTCCAATTCTACCCACTTTTCTACAAAAGAAAGACTTTCATTTTTCTTTATGGTTGACTAATACTCCATTGTGTAGGTATACCATATTTCTTTTATCCATTCATCTGTTGACAGGCACTCAGGCTGATTCCATATCTTGGCTATTGTGAACAGTGCCACAATAAACATGGGAATACAGGTATGTATTTTGTATGCTTACTTCATTTTCTTTAGATGTATATTCAGGAGTGGGATAGATAATTCAATTTTTAATTTTTTGAGAAATCTTTACACTATTTTTCATAATGTCTTTACATGTCCAGTAACAGTGTATTTTTTTCCTCCACATCTTCCTCCTCCTCCTTCTCCTCACTATTATTTGTGTGGTACTGGGGATTGAACCCAGGGAGTACTGAGCCATGTCTCCTGCACTTTTTATATTTTTATTTTGAGACAAGGTCTTGCTAAATTGTACAGATTGGCCTTGAACTTGTGATCTTCAGCTTCAGCTTCCTAAGTAGCTGGGTATAAGAGATATTACTGAAAACCCCGGCCATGGGTCTTGATCTCCTGTGAGCCAATATGACATCCACAAGATAGGAAAGATGGAAATAAAGACACAGAGACAGAGACTTGAGAGAAACTGAGCCTTGGGCTGATCTCAGCTGGTCTGAGCATCAAAGATAAAGACATCAAGAACACCCAGTGTTTATTGATTGCAAGCATGGGAATAGGGGAAGCTGGACAGGCCTTGTGACACTTGCTGACAAGTGTCAAGTGGGCAGGACTGTAGAATGAGGGCACTAGCACAACTTTGCAGAAAAGAACAAATGATTAATTCAGTGGGGAAGAATGTAGTTGTAGTCAGTTGACCTTGGCTGAAAGTGAACTCAGCTGATTAGACTACTTTCAGTGTAACAGCCAAATTATGGAGGGGCAAGAAGTTTGTGCCATTATAGCCAGCTAATACTGGGCAGAGGTGTCTGCTACAGCTGGGATTACAGGTGTGCACTGCCATATTGAACTTTTTTTTTTGATAATACTCATTCTGACATTTTGTGGTATTGAGGATTGAACTTAGGGCCTTGCACACATGCTAGGCAAACACCCTACCACTGAGCTATATCCCAGTCCTTTTAAAATTTAATTTTGAGACAAAGTGTTGCTATGTTGTCCAGGGTAGCCTTCAATTTGTTATCCTCCTGCCTCAGGAAATGGAGTAGCTATGAATACAGGTGGGTGACACCATACATTGTTGGTGTCTTTCTTTAGAGGAGAATTGCTCTGGGAGCCATTGCAAGATATGTCAGTCAAAGCCCAAGTGTCTAGGGACTCCTGGAAGACATGACCCCATCCTTAGTGCAGGTGCATGACAGGCATCCTTGTATAACTATAAATCAACTATGCCTATGCAGTATGTTCATGCAAAGCTACACAGCTATTGTTTTTCAGTATGGCTCAATATATGATAATGGGGACTATAACTGCCATGAAATAAAGAATTTTGTAACTGCTATTGCCAATGTCTACCTCATTTGCTTTCTTCTCTTTGGGACTCTCACCTAAAAAATTACCCCTTCAGCCCCTCAACCCCAACACTTGGTGTAGTCAGCAGGATACAAAGGTGGAGGTCTCCATGGCATCTGCAGAGACAGCTCCCAGTAGTGACAGGGAACCCTGGGAAGCTACTGATATGAGTCTCCTGGCCTCACTCTGGATGCTGATAGCTACCTTTTTGGCAGCTCAGAAATCTCTGGAGTACTAAGAGGCAGTCCACCTGACACCTGGAAATGTTTTATGGGCTTTGGAAACACTGGAGACACAGATTACTACCCTC